CTACCAGGGGAACCAAGTCCCCATCGTGGGCCAGGGGACCTTCTGGTTGAGGTTCAGGACCTTCTGCAGCCAGCTACCAGTGACGGTAGTCAACGGAGACCTACAGAGCCTCCTGGGGCTTGACTGGTTTGAAGCCCTGGGTCTAGAAGTGACCGGAATCAACACCATATGAGACGAAAGCACTTAGGAATTCCTTAAGGAGTTCGAGGGCGTTTAGGTAAGTATGTGGGGACTCCAATATCTTTTAACTTGGACTCCAATGTAGCCCCCATCAGGCTAAAACCCAGGAGAGTACCTTTCGCTCTCCGCCCTAAAATTGATTTGGAACTAGACAAATTGATTGGCCACGGAATCCTAGAGCTGGTAGATCGTGCACGCTGGGGGACCCCTATAGTGACACCTGTCAAGCCTGATGGGTCTGCCCACATCTGCGTGGATTACAAGTGGACAATAAACAAAGCCTTGCAGCAAAGCACTTATCCTGTACCCATTGTATAGCATTTACTGCACTCATTAGGCCCCGAAAAAGTTTTTGCAAAATTAGATATGGTGCAGGCATACCAGCAGTTGCCTGTAGATGGCGCCATGGCAGAGGCCCAAACCATTGTGCCACAAAGAGGTGCATTCAAATGCACCCGCCTTCAATTCGGAGTTAGTATCGCCCTGGACTGTTCCAAAGCGTCATGGAATGGCTTTTGCAGGGGATTCCAGGAGTCATCCCCTATTTCGCCGACATATTGGTATTGGCTGCAAATAAGGCACAATTATTTAAAAGATTGGGAACTGTTCTGGCCAGAATCAGAGACAAAGGCTTCCGCCTCAAAAAAGAAAAATGCCAAATTAACGTGCCAAGGGTTAAATTCCTAGGGTACCTCATCGATAGCTCTGGGATTCACCTGACTAATAAAAAAATTAAGGAAATCCAGGATGCCCCTACACCTCACAATCAGACCGAACTGCAGGCGTTCCTCAGGCTCCTTAACTTCTACAGTGTTTTTCTCAAGCAGAAAGCCACGGTTGCTGAACCTTTGCATCAGCTTCTCAGCAAACATGCCAAGTGGTCCTGGGGCAGAACTGAAGTAGCTGTATTTGCCGGGGTGAAGAAACTGCTGTCAGCGGACACGTTTTTGGTCCAATATAGCCAGACCCTGCCACTTGTCCTAACGTGCAATGCTTCCTGTTTGACATTGGAGTCGTCCTCAGCCACCGCATGCCAAATGGAACTGAGGCGCTTATCACCTACTACTCACGTATATTGTCTGCTACCGAGTGGAACTACAACTAACTGGACAGTGAGGCTCTGGCTGCAGTCGCTGGTTCAACGAATACATCTACGGTCGTGACTTTGAACTTATCACAGACCACAAACCATTACTGGGATTACTGGCTGGGGACCAGCCTACCCCTGCTTCTTTGTTGCTGCGAATGACCAGATGGACAATCTTCCTTGCGGCCTAAAGTTATCACCTTGTCCATCGACCTGGCTCTACCTTGGGGCATGCCGACGCCTTGAGTCAATGCCCATTGCCTGAACTGCTTGCAGAGCTTACCCTCGAGATGCCAGTCCTCCTCATTGACTATCTTGAGGCTGGTCCTGTCTTGTCTTGTGATGTCACCCGCCACTCAGCAAAAGATTCTACATTCCAACAGGTTTGGAACTGGGTGTGGAGGGAGTGGCCCAAGGGGCCTGTGGGGTCTGAATTTAAAATGTTTTACTGCAAACGTGATGAACTGTCAGTAATAAATGGTTGTCTACTGTGGGAGGACTGGGTTGTTGTTCCACCCAAACTGTGCATTGCAGTATGAGAGGCCTTGTGCATAGGGCATCCTGGAATTATCAGGATGAAATCTTTGGCCAGGAGTTACGTATGGTGGCCTAACTGGACAGCGAGATAGAAGAATGGGTGACTACCTGCACACCATGCCAGGAGTCCACACCAGCTCCCCAGAGGTGCCCGCTAAGGAGTGGGAGTGATCTCAAGCACCATGGGCTAGGGTGCACATAGATTTTGCTGACCCTGGATGCCTACTCGAAATGGCTAGAAGTAATCCTCATGACCTTTACTGTTGTGGATGGGTTTGAAGGAATCACAGGAGCCATGGAATAGCCAGTAAGATGGAATTTATTATACATTAGCAAGGTGACAGCGATTCAAATTCTAACAGATCGCGTCCCAGTATTTATAAGACATGTAACAACCCAAATAACCAA